AAAGAAGTAATCTTATTAGAGTGGCAAGTAGTGAGGTGATTAAAAAGTCAGTTAAATGAAAGAAACTGAAAAGTAATTAAAAGGCCAGACAGATGGATAGAGCTAACTGCAGAGAAATATTTATTGGATATGAATCCTTCCACAAAACATGAAAGATAAATATTGTTAGCCTCATTTTAAAAAATCAAGCGCCGTGGCTTGTGCTTGTAACCATAGCTACTCAGGAGGCTGAGATCTAAGAATTGTGGTTTGAAGCCAATCCCAGCAGGAAAGTCCATGAGACTCAACTCCAATTACACACACACACACACACACACACACACACACACACACACACACACACACACACACACACACACACACACACACACACACACACACACACACACACACACACACACACACACAGAATTGGAGCTGTGGCTTAAGTAGTAGAGTTCTAGCCTTGAGCAGCAAAAAAGAAAGAAGGAAAAGAAGAAAACAAGAGAGAAGGAAGGAAACAGAGGGAAGGAAGGAAACAGAAGGAGGGAGGGAGAGAAGGAAGGAAGGAAGGAGGGAGGGAGGCGCACACACACACACACTAAGACCTATATAGATCATCTCAAAATGTCCAATAGTTTAACTCCAACATTATACTGCTCTATGTTGCTTCTTCTAACACTCAATACTTGACTGGAATTTCCTCATAAGGGTTATTTCTCTCATATAAGCACAAAAGTGATTCAGTTTTTAGGTCAAGTCCATAGGCTCAATCTAAATGATACGTGAGAAGTCATGTCAATCTCTTCAATATCCAAATGAGTTTCACTTTGTTGTATATTCATGAACTATAATCTGATCCAGAACCTACTATCAAAAACAAAAACAAATCACAAGACAAACCTATTCTGAATTAAAATGCCTTAAAAGATAAGTTTTATATTGGCTGTTTCCATAACTTGGTTATTGTGAATAGTGTAGCAATGAACAAGGGTAGGGAAGTAAAAAAGGTAAATCTCTGTAATGCTATTTGGCACTTTTACTTAAGCTCAATGTATGTACATTCTAAACCAGCAATCACATTCCTAGTTGTATAGCCACAGAAGTGCATTTCTATGCTCACCAAAGTTTAAGATCATTCATCTCAGCACTATACATAGCAGCCTGGAAACAATTTAAATGCCTATCATAATCAGAATGAAAGAATAGAGTACAGTAATATAGTCCCAGAAGGGGAAAATGGATGAAAATTTCACACATAACAAAGGGTAAAAAGTTAGACAAATTTCATATTTATGATTACATTTAAATAAAAGTGAAAGTCAGGATAGTGATGACTCTTCTGAGAAATAATGGGAGAGAAGGGTTTGTGAAATGCAGATAATGCTCTGATTTTCTTTGATCTGGGTGCTAGTCACATTAGCATATTTACTTTATGAAAAATATCAAGTGCTATGTTAATTTGTATACTTTTAAACTTTTTATATTTCAGTGAAAACTTTCAAAGAGTGCAGTATTTTGTTTTTGGTAGATTAACAGCATAATACACCATAAATGTTAATATGTCAGTATCTCTTACCTCTCTACACTGAGCTTGACAATAAAACAGGATTTCAAAAGTAATTTTTCATTTAATTTATTGGCTAAAAGATAATCTACAAAGAATGGCATTCATTCATTATATAATAAGAAAATATATTTTCTAATTCTAATTTCGAATCTTCTTGCCATCCATTTTCAGCTTAAACAGAGGAATTAACCCAGCCACCATATATTCAGGCTTAAGGAAACATTTTAAATAAAACTACTAATAAGTACTAGTAAGTACTAATAAGTAATAGGGCTTAATAAGTACAAGAATCCACTGTCAAAGTAAAATTATTCAATTTCTGTTAAGGCTATTTCATATTCTTACTATGAGGATGCATGGACAAATCTTTTAAAGTAGGTAGTTTGAAAAAGTATGACCTGGTGATATGTCTTCTAAGAGTAAAGTGTCAAATGAAATCCTTTCCTTTTCATTTTACAATAGGATCTCTGAGAAAAATATTTTGCAGATTAATATTTTGTCAGAATGATAAATTTCAAAATATCAACATTTTCCATCTGAGAATTTCCTATCCTTTCATTTGTAACTGAAAGTCAATCCATAACCATTAAGATTTGAACTGTTTCTTAAAAAGAGACAATATGACAGAAACAAACACCCAGTAGATGATCTATTTAAGACAATGTTACCATTTCCTCTATTAGAATATTTTACCACATATGAAAGAATAGCTTTTGATATAAATATTTTATTAACTACAAGAAAAAAAGGGGCAAAGAGAAAACATAGGCAGGAAGTCAAAGTTTATTCAAAATTTCCTTTGCAAAATAATCCTTGACAAAGATGAGTTAGTGGAAAGAGCAAACATCCTGACGCATACTACAATACTGTTCCTAATTAAGTTGATTCTGAAAAGTTACTTTACTCTGTTACTTCCCTGGAAATCATTATGCTCTGATTATAACCTACCCTGTGTTTTGGAAATCTATGCAACTTCCTTAAACAGCTACAGAGTACAGGTTTAAGCACCAGTATAGGGATTTTATTAATTTTAATGAATCATGGACTCTTTCTCCCACTATGACAAGTTATAGGAAGGCTTACAAATGTATGAAATTTCCATCCATACATCCTGCTGATTATCTTAGCAACTGACATTAGAAGTTAAAGTATTATTACCACATAAAATTTCCTTAGAAATTATGAGTGTAAGGTTCCAAAAGGGCCATAAACCGGTACAGATGTATCACCATTCAAACAGAGACAACATTAAGAAATCATCACTTCAGTGAACTAGACTAGAGCAACAATACTCAGTGTGTGACTAAGAATATTAATTTTATTCCTTTTTTCTACAATGAATTCCATAGAACTAATTTAGTGTGAAATTAAACAATCTCTTTCAGAAAATAATCTGTGAACCATGCTAATATATTTGCAAGCTAATACTACATATAATGCAAACACTGTTAAAATGCCACATTCCCACTGTCTTATTTTCATGAAATACTAACTCTAACTTAATATGTAATAAATGGTGTCCATGAATACTTACTTATCAAAACTAACTTTTAGGGCTGGGAAGGTGGCTCAGTGGTAGAGCGCTTGCCTTGCATGCATGAGGCCCTGAGTTCGATTCCTCAGCACCACATAAGCAGGGGGGAAAAAAAAAGCTGGAAGTGGCAATGTGGTTCACAAGTGGTAGAGTGCTAGCCTTGAGCTGAAGAGCTGAGGGACAGCGCCCAGGCCAGAGTTCAGGCCCCACGACCGGAACCCCCCCCCCAAAAAAAAAAAAAAAAAAAAAAAAACTAACTTTTAGTATTAGCCTATTTTAAGAATACCAGACTCAAATAAGGAAGTGAATTTATTTTTTTACTTTAAAGAGTATAATTCTAGGGTTGGGAAGGTGGCTCAGTGGTAGAATGCTTGCCTAGCATGCATGAGGCCCTGGGTTCAATTCCTCAGTACCACATAAGCAGAAAAAAGCTGGAAGTGGCGCTGTGGCTCAAGTGGTAGAATGCTGGCTTTGACCTGAAGAGCTGAGGGACAGCGCCCAGGCCCAGTGTTCAAGCCCCATGACCAACAACAACAACAAAAGTATAAAATTCTAAATAGAGGAGAGAAGAGCAATTCAAAATACCAATTGGGCTAATCAGGCAAAGTAGAAGTTTAGTACAAATGCCTCAATTTGCTTTAAGCATAATGTGATCATACCATGTTGAATAAGTTTTAGCTCTTAATTTTCCCTCTGGGTTACATTTAGAATGGAATTTTATAAGCTAATTTGTAAGTAAAATGAACAGAATCAATGTATTATCAATCAGCTTCTCTCCCTGTTATATATTCCAGATTCAAGACCCTTTTATGAGCCTAGAAAGTAACTCAAACCTTTTTTTAAATCAAAGTATGTTACAAATGATTTAAATTCTCACTTGCTTACAAAATGTTCTGCAACCTTTAGGTCCTACATAATGACTAGCAAGAGCCCACAAAGCTTAAACACAAATGGTTTCTTTTGTGGCAGGCTGAGAAATAACACTGTTCTTCTTTATACACCTTATACTTTACCTTTTCAAATATTACTTTTGTATTCACATTTCTAATGTCTAAAGAAGGTAATTTAAATGGTAAGTTTTATTTGTTTATTCATTTAGTTATTTAATTATGTAGCTAGCAATATTAGTGTTTGCATTTAGGGTCTTTTGCTTATTAGACAAGTGCTCTACTACTTGAGACACACCTCAGTTGGTTTCACTTTAGTTGTTTCTTAATTAGGGTTCTAAACTTGTGCTTCTTCAACCTCTTCACCATACAGATGCATCACTCCTTGGACACAAGCATGCACTTCCAGGCCATCTTGGTTTTCTGAGATACAGTCTTGTTAACTTTATTTGCCAGAGATAGTCACAAAACACAATTCTTCCATCTCTACCTCCCACATAGCTGGGACTGAAAATTTATCACCTCACCCAGCTAGTCTTTTCTTTTATGGGACAGAAATATTCGTAAAGTTTATTAATTTAAAGCTGATTAAGGTTAAGTGGATAATCATATGTATAAGCTTAAAATGAATTATTCTAGCTGAATAAAGCTATATTTTATGTATATTTACGCTTCCATTAAATATATAACTTCTCATCTAGTAACTTTCATATCACATTGTCACACAATGATGGGCAATAGAAGATATGTATATGAATAGTATTAATTATTACTTTACAAGAGTAAAGAAGGGTGGGTAAACTACAGTTCAATGGTGAAATATATGTTTAACATGAGAACATGAGAACAAAGAACATGAAATAAACAAATAGGAGCAGCTAAAGAATTCTGAAAATTTCAAAAAAACTTTTATATTAGTGAGGATGGCTTAATATCATATGAACAAAGACAATGAAAAAAACAGTATTTTAAGGACACACTGTTTTCTATTTTGCCTTAGGTATGAAATAAAAGGTAGGAGTCACTGTACCTCACAAAGCAGTAAATCAATGATGTGGAACACCATGCAGAGTGGGAACTTGGCAGTAAAAAGAGTGAGGAACCATTGTGATGCATACATATGAGCTTCCAGATTCAGATCACTAAAATGACTGTGAAGGTCCGGTAGCTGTTCCTAAAAGTCAAAGTGAAAAGTATTATTTCTTCCCACAACTGCAATTTATAGCACATTGTCTGATATCACCTTACCTGTAGTCCGCCACTGGCTACATTACAATGCAAATGATGAGAGGAGACGGGACTAGAGCATATGCCAGACAGTTGAGGAAAACAAAAACTTTTTGTGAACAAGAAAGAAACGAAGTTAGCTTTAGCTTGCTTGGCTATTTTTCATTTTGGGGGATATGCATCCTTTGACAGAATTGACCAGTAGTTTGATGAACATCTTGATTCAAGCAGCAAGTCAGAATAGCACTGCTTACATAGCAAGAAAACAATGTATCTTCTTTTTGGACACTATCTAATATCAATGTTATCTGAGATCTATGACACCATTTTAGTATATTTGTGAGTATATGAAAAATTTCAAAGAATATGCAACTATTAAAAAATCTATCCTCAGCACATTAAAAATGGCAAAGTAAAATGATACAAAGGTATAATACATGAAACTACCTCCTGAAAATGCCTTTATACTAGCTTTATTCTTTTCCCAAGTTAAAAAGATAACTGTCGAAAGTGGCGCTGTAGCTCAAGTGGTAGAGCGCTCGCCTTGAGTTGAAGAGCTGAGGGACAGCGCCCAGGCCCAGAGTTCAAGCCCCAGGACCGACAAAAAAAAAAAAAAAAAAAAAAAGATAACTGCCTTTCAAAAGAATGAAAGGCAAAGTACAATGGATGAACATAGCTATGCCTACAAGGGAAGCTATTCATAAGCTAATGTTTGCTTGTTTTTTTATAAAAGACCACAAAAACCAAATCATTTCTTATACAAGATGATCACAAGAAGACATTGAAATATACCCTTCTAGTGCTTTTTTTTTTTGGGGGGGCCCGGTCGTGGGGCCTGAACTCTTGGCTTGCGCGCTGTCCCTCAATTCTTCAGCTCAAGGCTAGCGCTCTACCACTTGAGCCACAGTGCCACTTCCAGCTTTTTTCTTTTTGCTTATGTGGTGCTGAGGAATCGAACCCAGGGCCTCATGCATGCAAGGCAAGCGCTCTACCACTGAGCCACCTTCCCAGCCCCCCTTCTAGTGCTTTAAGTGGGTGTTCAAATGGTCATCAAGCTAACAGACTAAGAAGACTAATAGAAAAATGTGGTTGGGTTTCTTCATATCGCACTTTTACTTCATTTATTAGACATACTTAATTTGACTTTCAAAGCCATCAGAAATACTGACCTTTGATGAAACATGACCTTTTGTGAAAGAAAGGTGAAAGGAGTGTTATGATTTGGATTTGAAATGCTCCTACATAAAGGCTTATGTTCTGAATGCCTTGTCTTCAGCTGCTGGTGCTACTGAGAGGTGGTTGGATCATAAGTCATTGATGATACCTCAGCAATTAATGAGCTCATGGAGTATAAGAAAGAAGAATATAGGCCAGGCACAGGTGGCTCACACCTGTAATCCCAGCTACTCAGGAGGCTGAGATCTGAGGATTGTGGTTTAAAGCCAGCCTGAGCAGGAAAGTCAGACTTATCTCCAATAAACTACTCAGAATAAGATGGAAGTGGAGCTGTGACTCAAAGTGATAGAGGGCTAGCCTTGAGTGCAAAAGCTCAGAGACAACACCCAGGTCCTGAGTTCGAGCCCCACCACCAACATAAAAAAAAAAAAAGAATGTGGTTGGAGAAAGTGACTAGAAATGTATCATTTAAGGGTATATTCTGCCCCTTTCTGTCTCTATGCTTCCTGATTGCCCTGAGGTAACAGCTTCCTGTCACAAGCTCCTGCCACTTTGATGTTCTGCTTAACTTTACATACAAAGCAATGGAGCCAGCTTACCTTGGAATGGAACCTGTGAAAAATCAGCAAAAATAAGTCCTCTCTGCCTTATATTGGTAATCATGGGTATTTTGTTACAATGATGATTAACATAGAAAATATTTTATATATTTATAAATACTTTATATATTTATATGGTAAAGTTCAATCTTTAGAAAGGAACCTACTGTGTGAGTGCGTGTGCGTGTGCGTGTGTGTGTGTGTCCTGGGCACTGACCCTGAGCTTTTCTGCTCAAGGCTAGACTCTACCACTTGAGGCACAGCTCCACTTCTGGATTTTTGGTAGTTAACTGGAGATGAGAGTCTCACAGAGTTTCCTGCCCAGGGTGCTAGGATTACAGGCATGAGCCATGGCACCCGGTTAGGAACCTATTGCTTTTAATTGTTTCAGCTACCCGATTCTTCTGTAGAATTATTTTCCTCCCCACTTGTTATTGTGCTTATGATTCATTTTACATACTTCACCATTTCTTCTACATATTTAAAGTCTTCTATCCTTCTACATTTCATCTCCACAATAGATTAGCACTTTAATCTCACTCTGAACACTTAGTTTTCAACTCCAGTTCTCCCCATCTTTTGGTCTCTAATATTTACCTCCCTCATTAGTTAGCTGATAGCTATCTAAAGGATTTCTCAACAAGTCATGACAATGAACTTCTACCAGCATCTTCCACTCCATTGATGTGCTAATTTTCTTCTCAAATCTTTTTACTTTTTCCCAATAAAGATGATAAAATCATATATTTCCTTCACATTTATTTTGGGTTCTAACAATCCTTTCAAAAAGTTCATGTAAGAGCGCTAGCCTTGAGCTGAAGGAAGAGCTGAGGGACAGCACCCAGGCCCAGAGTTCAGGCCCCACGACCGGACCCCCCCCCAAAAAAAATTCATATAAATATGTTAAGTAGATATACTGTAAATTTAAGATTTCTACCTTTGGCAAAACTTTAAAACTAACCGATAATTCCTTCTGAAAGCTCTAGTCAATAATTTTGCCCTTCCTGTCTTTTTTACTATGCAATATTAAAGAATATGTTTCTCATGTCTATATATTTATAAAAACATTATGAAATCATCAATAATGTGGGATTAAAAAGCTATGTAGAAAAATTTATGTCTCTCAATTATGTATTTTAGGTGTTCTTAAAAAATTGTCTAATTAATCTTTCTGTCTTTTCCAAGTGGCCTCTTGAATTCAAATATGGTAATGGTGTTAATCAGCATGAAAAATATCTTAGCATTTTAATTTTTATTTGGTATCTTCATTTTTCTACAAATAATACTGGTAGAATATTAATTCTAATTTACTATATTTTCACTTCATGTTGCATTGAAGTTGGACATTTAAAATATGAAACTAGTTTTACAAGTCAAATTGATATACACATATATTCTGATATTCAGTATAGATACCAGCCAGAAACCATCTATTTACCTTTTCTTCTGCATTTGATGAAACTTAAAAAGGTTGTTATAGCTCATCAACCTTATGAGGCTTATTCAATAACTCAATAAGTCCCTGGATGATAAAAGTTCTTAATTTTGATTTACCTGCATTAGTCTCTCCAACTGGTAGAATTTGCAATGAAGATCTTCAAAGTTGTTTTTATAGAGGTCTCGTAAACCATAGTCATACATGATTTTCACCAAAACACAGAAAGCTTGTTCCTCTGGCATCTATGGGAAAATATATAAATATATACATACAATCATGAATGAGTAGCATTGAGCCAGAATGTCAATGAAGTCCCATTTTGTTATTAGACCTCTGCATAAATAGATAAAGGCTTGCTGTGAATAAAACCTTTAGACCAAGACTTCTGTAGCAATACATGGGTAAAATTTGTGCTCAAAATCTTGAGTGTTCACTTGCTTAAGAGGATATGATGAACTGTAATTCTATGTATACTATGTCAGCATCATCTATTTATTAGGCTATATATATATATATATATTTTGGGGGGGGTCTGGTCATGGGGCCTGAACTCTGGGCCTGAGCGCTGTCCCTCAGCTCTTCAGCTCAAGGCTAGAGGTCTACCACTTGAGCCACAGCGCCACTTCCGGCTTCTTTCTTTTTGCTTATGTGGTGCTGAGGAATCGAACCCAGGGCCTCAGGCATGCAAGGCAAGCACTCTACCACTGAGCCAACTTCCCAGCCCTAGGCTATATTTTTTAAAACAGTAATATAACCACATGATTTAAAAAGCCAAAGGATATCCTAACACACTCTTCACTCATACCTGCCTCTTTAGGTATTTCCTACACCTCAAGATTACTCTTTGCAATTTCCCCTATGACCTGCCAAAGGAACTAAATTTCTTAGATTATTTTGTTCCTTTTTCTATGCAAAAGATAATATTCTCTCTATATAGAGATCAGTATGTATATATACATACACTTATGTATCTATGTCTATATAGTTACCTTGTTTTTTTCCCCTTAATAAGTTAAAATTATTTCCCTTTGGGTATATAAAGCAGTTAAAAAGTATTCTACTATATGAATATACCGAAGTTCATTTTCTCAGTTTCCTATTAATGGGCACTTGGGATGTTACTTTTTAAAATATCATCAAGAGCTGAAAAAACAACCTTGTTTATGCATCATATTTACCAAGGCAGGGATGGTGTTGAGACATTCCCAAAAGTGGGACTGGTAGCACAAATGATGAATGCAGCTTTAATTTTGAATGACAATATGATACTGCACTCCCAGACTCTTCTGGATATTACTATTCTTTTTCAATTAAAAAAAGTTTTTAAGAAAGGATTTTATGAGTTTCTATCACTAAGATTTAAGAAAAATATATTAACCCTCTAAGAGATATTTTATCTGAATAGCGAAGTATGAACCCAAAAGAATGACTTTCTAAGCTGTGGTATCAAAAGGCTCAAAGAATGTAAATATTCTAGAAATTACATAATCAGACAAAAAGTGATTGCACAAGTTCAGTGTCTGAGGATTAAATATTAAGTACTTAAGCAGATTTCACTCCTGTTGTTTTCATTCTCTAAATATTGTTTATTTCTTCTTTCTTTAAGGATGTCTCAAAATGTTTGGCCTATGTCCTTAGCTATTCAAGTCCACTGGCATTTTTCAGTTGCTATTTACTTATTTAGAATACAAAACATGTCCTTAAATCCTTTAAAATTTCTGTCTTTAGTGCCTCAAGTTGAAGCTGACTTTCACTTTTCTGACTTATTTGTCTTACCACAAAATTGGAAGCCTTAGTCATTTTTTTTAGATCTGTTATCAAGTGGCTATTCAAAAAGAAACTGGCAGTCAGTTAGAGAAACCAAGTCACTCAATCTCTTTCTTTCTAAGTGAAGGACAATTCATTGAATATTTTACTACCTGGGAATTAAAGAAATAATAAGCTTTTATTTTAATGACTATGATTTAAAAAAAAACCCTGAAACAAATAAACAGTTGAAGAGCCTGTGGTCTTCCTACATAGAGAACATAGCTAAGATGAGGGATGGACAAAGGAAGAAACCTCCTCAAAGGATGAGTATAGGTCACTGCCTTAATGAGGACATAGAAGTCCTGTCTAGGCAAGGTAGGCTATAGTATGATATTGCTATTGCTAGCACACAAGTAGAGGAATGGCTAGATCAGGATAAATTATTCAAAATCATTACATGGTAATGACAAATGGACACAATGCTCATTTTTAGGTATGAAGTTTACATGACATCTCTGTCTCTCTTCAACTTCCTTTTCATACACAGAAAACAAATCATTTCAAAGTTTAAACTGATGATCCCAGTCCAGAATCTTTATTATCAAAATAATAATCTTCATTATCAAAAAACAGATTTGCATTTGTGAAAAGGAGGTGGTCTTGGGAATTAGTATTCTTTATATTTATCTCCAGTAATATACTAACGTTTATGATTTTTAGTTAATAAACTCCCATGAAGATTTTTTTTAAACACTAGTAATAAAATGAGTAAGAAGCCAGGCACTGGCTCAAGCCTATAATCCTAGCTACTTAGGAGACTAAGAGGAGGATCGTGGTTCAAAGTGAGCCTGGGCAGGAAAGTCCGTAAGACTCTCATCTCCAATTAACTACCAAAAATGCTGGAAGTGGACTTGTGGCTCAAGTAGTAGAGTGCTAGCCTTAAGCAGAAAAGCTAGGAACAGTGCCCAGACTCTGAGGTTCAAGTTCCAGGACTGGCACACATACACATACACAAAATAGGATGAGAAATATGAACAGTCTTCTGGAAAGCAGAGATGCAGCTTTCTCTTTCTAGTTTAAGGATCAGTGAAATCTATTTAGTGAAAGATCTTTTTAATGTTAAATTATTTAGATACATGTTCTTCAACAAAGTAGTGTTTACAACTTTCATGACAGCATTTCTCTGTGTCTCTGAGAAGAATTCTCACCACTTCCACCTTTTCATAAGTCAAATATTGATAAAGCACCGTTTTCCAGGTTTTCCCTTTAACTAAGGTGGTTGCCGCTGCCTCTGTAATCTCACTAATCTTTAACAGTTCTCATAAATTTTACTTAAATAAAAAATTCTTTGTTGTCTTCTTTAAAATGAGTTTCTTGACATCTCTGAATCTCCAAACTATTACCATTTGTTTATATTATGTCTATTATAGTTATTTGTATGCTTCTAACCTCTATTTTATGTTGCTTTCTGCTACAGATATTAACATAGAGACTTCAAAAATATCAAGTATTAAGTATTTGCTAAAAACTTGAACTACACTGGCATTATGCAATAAAGGCATCAATAATGTAATCATTTGATAACTGCCATGACCACAAGACAAAAATGCAGAAAGTACCAGTAGTATCAGTAGTTTCATAAACACTTACCAAGTACTGGCTGGACATAAGAGGTAGCTAAGCTAAGTGCACCAATATTATCACTTAATATCTGATGGTATTAAAATGAAGAATACAAAAATTTTTTGTCTTACCTATACTTTGAATTAGTTAACAAGCCTGTCTTTAATTACCATAAAGAAAATCAATCAACAACTAAAACCTAACACCTACTTATACTATTAGATCTCATTTTACTGCATGCAGGCTCACTACTTGGTAAGTATTGTGGTGCCTGCCTGTGATTTTTTAAAAAAAGAACATGAATGTAACTATTTCACCTGCTATAATGATTAATGTTTTACTGAACAACAAGATCTAATTTATCATTGATATATTATCCTTAAGTATATTAAAATAAATAACTTAATAGTGTATTTTAAATAAGGTATTAAGTCATAGGAACAGGGTAGGTCTTCAGTAATTAAAATTCATTTTCTTGTGCACCACTCTTGGGGCCTGAATTTGGGGCATGGGCACTATTCCTGATCTTTTGTGCCCAAGGTTAGTGTTCTACCAATGGAGCCACAACTTCACTTCAGACCTAATTGGAGGTAAGAGTTTCATGGATTTTCCTGTCCAGACTGGAGGGGAAAGGAGAGGAAGGGAAGGGAGGGAGAGGAGGGAAAAAAATGAAAGACCCAACCTGATGTCCCACATTTAATTTTAAAGGCAGTTGAAAACTGTAATGGTGGTAAGTAGTCCCTGCTATATTATCCTCCCCTTGTAAATGGGTAAGTTTCTTATTGTAAGTGGATATAACAGCATCTGTTGTGTAATCCTTTTACAATTTAAACTACTAAGCACAAAGCTATTGTTAAAGAATCTGGAAATTTCTAAGCACTGAAGAAGCTTATTAACTTTTAAACCCTGACTTAGAAAAACCAGAAAATTCAAAACTTGGGTTTTGAACACACTCTCATTTTTTTTTTTTTTGGTCCAGTCGTGGGGCCTGAACTCCGGGCCTGGGCGCTGTCCCTCAGCTCTTCAGCTCAAGGCTAGCGGTCTACCACTCACTTGAGCCACAGCGCCACTTCTGGCTTTTTTTTTTTCTTTTTGCTTATGTGGTGCTGAGGAATCGAACCCAGGGCCTCAGGCATGCAAGGCAAGCGCTCTACCACTGAGCCACCTTCCCAGCCCCACACTCTCATTTTTAGTGTCCCTTTTTTCTCTCTTTAAAGTATGTGAAATATAAATGACCATGCATGCTGAATGGACAGCATCTTGAAAGCAGCTGCTCTGACAGTGATTAATATGAAGCCGCCAAAGGATGTCTGGCAGCAAAAAGAAGCAATAGCTTATGTAACGGATAAGAAATTAGCCAGAAAGATCCTAGCAACATATCTTGCTGGCACCTGAGGTAGTGCATTTGATGAAAATTTTAAGCTAGCCTATATTCTACCAGTGAAACGATGCAGGGAAAAAATCTGAGGAAAAAAAATGCCCAGTTAAATTCTGTTATTCAGACTGGACACTGATAGGTTAATGCAATAGGCTGAGTAACAGAATTTTCATGCATGATACTAATTAAAATTAGACTATAGTAGCTTTTTATTAACACTATGCTGACTCTTTAAGGATTCTGAAGGCATATCTACATTTCAGATTATTTTTATATGCCATACCAACTGTGCAATTCTATTAATTTAGAAAGTATGAGAGACTGGACTGATATTTTTTCTTTTCTTTGTCTTGTGTGGGTTCAGGAGGTTTGAACTCAGGGCCTGGGCAGTCTCTGAGGCTTTTGCTCAAGGCTACACTCTATCACTTGAGCCACAACTCCACTTCCAGCTTTTTTGATGCTTAATTGGAGGTTAACAGTCTCACAAACTTTCCTGCCCAGGCTGGGTATGAACCAAGTAGCTAGGATTACAGGTGTGAGCCAACTGTGCCCATGGATTTAGTATTTTGTACATCTTGTAACACATCTTGTACATCCTGTAGAAGCTATTTTATTGGAAAAGCTCACAAAGGCTGGTTTGTCAAGTGACCCTTATTACTATAAGGTAGATAACAAAAAACAATATTTGAATTTTTTAATTCTTAAAAAAATTTTAATACTGTACAGAGGGGTTACAGTTACATGAGCAGATAATGAGTACATTTCCTATCAAGCATTGTTACCTCCTCCTTTGTTTTACCCCTATCATCCCTTCCACCTCCACAACTATACTCCCCCGCCACCTAAATTGTAAAATTCGTTTTTCAACATAGTGTCTTGTGCATCTCATTGTTACAATAGGTCAACCTGTATCCCTATTTAAGCATTTTGTTTTTTTCCCTTCCCTTCCCCAAATTAGAGAAGTGTATATACAAGATGCAGGCTACCGTCATCAAATACAGTGGAAATGGGGAGGAACAAACAAAGAAACAAACAAAAAAAAAATCACATGGTACATTACAAATACATTAGAAACAATAGCAACAAAGAAAAAAACACTTTTGTCCCTATCTTGGGGTTCATGTTGCTTAACATCATCTTATCTGGTCATATGTACATAGCTTTTGACCTTTTCTGTTTGTCCCAGATATATAGGAGTTATTGCAAATAAGGGAAACCATGGGACCTATGTTTCTTTGGGCCTGGCTTACTTCACTTAATATAATTTTTTCTATTTGAGTTTCTAGCTATTTGACTCACTGTCTCAATTTAAGGGATGGGATATGGTATGTTTTCCAAAAATTGTGAATTTGCAATTCAATGAACCTCTCAGAAATCTCAAAGGAACAGATGTGGGGGGAAAGGAACCTTAATACACTGTTGTGGAAATGCAAACTGGTACAACCACTGTGGAAGACAGTTTGGAAAATCCTCCAAAAAATTAAATGTAGAAGTACCCTATGATCAGAGATACCATTCCTGAGTGTTTATCCAAAATATTAAAGGTCAGAATACAGTAAAGATATTTGTACATTCATATGTGAGTATGTATACACACACATACATGTGTAAATACATATGCACATATATGTGTATATATATATATTACATCAAGAAGACTGATATTATGTTATTTGCAAGGAAATGGAATGACCTAGAAAAAAAGTCATGCTAAGTGAACTAAGTAAACTAAGTTTCAGAAAGACAAAGGATGAATTTTTTCTCATATGTGAAAGTTAGATATAAATTATAAAAATGTATGTAAACATGTACACGGTATTATGCATATATAAAACATTAACTAACGTATGCATATGCAGAAAAGAATTCTTATGGTGTAATTCCTTTGAACGAAGACCTCACAGATGAACAAAATGAATACCAAGAAGCTGAAACTTGTGGTTTCGGGGGGGCAGGTGAAGTCAAGAAGAGAGGGTAGATGAATGAAGAAAGGAATGTTGGGCAAATGTAGTCATAATGTTCAATGTACATATGTAAAAATGGAACTATAAACATTGAGAGGATGGGATAGGGTTAGGAGAGATAGGGGAATTATGAAAAGGAATGACATCGATCAAGATGAACTATACTCATAAACTTACACATTAAATAGTAACCCATTTCTGAACCTACTTAAAGATAATAAAAAAGATAAAAAAAATCTCAAAACATATTTTTCAGATAAATTCTTTAATCACAATATTGTAATCAATATATAATCATATTAATATTGAGTACATTTAAATTGATATATTTAACTAATCAATTTATAATATCTTACTATAAACATATAAAATTAAAACAGTACTTTATTATAATGTATTAATAAGGGACAGGTAAAAATCTTTGAATATATATTCAAAGATTACTTTTTTCCAAACAAAGTCCTTAACATGTCATCATCTTCTCATCAGCATGGTTATAAAACTTTTTCAGAAGAAAATGGCTCTGTGCCTTGATGAACACACTCATGAGACGGCTTAAAGTACCCAGTCTCCTGCAGTAAGGACCTGACCATTTCTTGATTCTAGGTGGATTTGACAGTAGAAAACCTCCTGAGAACTTGTGATAAAAAGTGTTTGCTAATCACAGGGTGTCCCAAGAAGATGAGATTTGAAAATATCAAAGAAATGTACAAGACACTATGTTGAAAATGAACCTAATATATCTTCAGGCTCAGGGGAGGAGTTGGGGAGGTGGGGAGGGAAGGAAGGTAGGGGAAAAACAAAGGAGGGGGTAACAATGCTCTATAGGAAACATACTCATTACCTTACTCGTGTAATTGTAACCCCTCTGTACAGTATCTTTACAATAGTATATATAAAGAAAATATCAAAGAAAGAAAATAATGAGAAGATAGAGGTAACTATAAGTAGGTGATAACACAGCAGAGGAAGAAATCAATATCAAAGTGAGATGAAATGAATAATCTCAGTAGAACCATCATATATTTCTATCAGAACAACCAAGTCATCAAAATTAGGATGGTAAGTCTACTAAATGCTCTTCATTCTCAGAATGCCAAACCCAATTTTAATTTTAAGTTTATCAAGCCTGTCTTCTACATTTAACACTATGCACTGTTTTCACTCTACTGAAAAACTGAACTTTAAGGGTTCCACTTCATCAGCCACTGAAATGCTTAGTTTATCCTTCTTACTTGATCTAATCTACTCAAAAGATTTCTGCTTTGATTCTTCCCTGAAAACTAGTCTCCAAAACTCAACTGGCTGCTGGATAGCTCTATTTAGATGCCTCAGAAATACCTCAAATTTAAAACAAAATTTACCAACAACCTCTGAACTTCTTCCATACAATCTCAATGGATACATTTTCTACCTCAGCTAAAAATACCAGTACATTCAGCCAGCCACCAAAACTAGAAAACTAGACCTTTGACCATTCTTTTCCTAATCAATCCACAAAACCAACCTGTTGTTGAATATTTACTAATTATGATTTTCTTCTGGCTCTCAATCTCTCTCGGATTGATTTTTTTTTGTTGCTGTTGTTGGTTGTGGGGCCTGAACTCTGGATCTGGACACTGTCTCTCAGCTCTTCAGCTAAAGGCTAGCGCTCTACCACTTGAGCCACAGCGCCACTTCCGGCTTTTTCTGCTTATGTTGTGCTGGGGAATCGAACCTAGGACCTCATTTATGCAAGGCAAGCGCTCTACCACTGAGCCACCTTCCCAGCCTCTCAGATTGATTTTTTTTTTTTAACCATTTTGCAGTATTGGAGTTAGAATTGAGAGCCTCGTGTTCACTCAACTTGCTTGCTTAACTTTGTTTGTTTAGGTAGCACTGTACCACTTGAACCATGCCTCCAGTCCTGATTTTTGCTGGTTATTTTGGAGGCAGTGTTGGATGAGGTTTTCTGCCTGGAATGGCTTTGGCTTTGAACTACAATTCTCTGGGTCTCAGGCTCCTGAGCTAGCATGGGTACCTTGTTTAGATTGGTATTTCCTAATAGTCTCTCTGATTTTTGTTTTAATTCCCCTCTCTACACAAGTACGACAAGAAATTATCTAAAAAGAATCTATCATTATATTACTCCATTACTTCAAACTAATCAATGACTTCTCATTTGCTCTAGAAGAAAGTCACATTTTTACATGACTACACAAGTTCCATATTGTGGCCCCTGCTTATCCTACCACACCACAGCACTCCTGGATATAGTTCCTAAGCCAACTGTAATTTCATAAGCTCCCTTTGTATACAGTTCCCTTTTATTTCCATACATTGTCTTTTGTTTCTTTTGTCTAGAATTCTTTGCTATTTGTTCTCCCTCTTGTTCTCCCCAAACAAGTTATTTATACCTTGGCAAAACAGCCACTGGCTCCCGAAAATTTTTTCTGAAAGTTCTGGCAAAAGTGGGTTAAATAATTCTATTATCTTACTCAGTGTTTTTTCTTGGCTTCACAAACTGTAAGTGCTCTAGTAAGCATGTATTATTTTTGTCATCAGAAAAATCAATAGAGACACAGAAGAGGAAAAAATAATAAGTTTGTACGTACATTATCTGTGGCCCATCTGGGATTTTAAAGTGTTTGAGAACACAAATTTTAAATGATTCATATTTATAATCCCACTTCTAGCCAGGGCCTCACAACTGATGCTCAGTAAGTGTTCAGTTAAATGAAGGGGACTGTCAAGAAAGGCAGTATATAAAAATAAATCATAGAAAATGTAAAAGACCTCTTTGTCACAGTACACTGCTTCATAGTGGACCAAGTCTGTATATCTGGGCAGTTACATTGACTTCATTATTCTACATTGTTTTAGTTAAAAATAAGTCCAAACAAGTAATTTTTTTTTCTGGGCAGTAAAATTATTTCTATTGAAAAACTGTCCTGTCCTTGACATCAGAACTTTTGCTTTATCACCCAAGGTACACTTTGAAACAGATATGCCATATGTAATTTTCATCAGGTAAATGGGAAATTGGAAGGAAGAACACATCCAAGTAGAAAATAAATTTAGTAGCACCATGCTATTTATCATGTGGAAAATTACTTACATGCAGCAGTAGTACAGCAGCAAGAAAAGATTGTCCTTGACAGTACCCTATATCTTCATCATACACGGAGTAGGCCTAGAGAAAGAAAGTGAAAGGAAATATTGTAAATGCAGAGTTTAACATAAGTATTAGCTACATCCGGTTGCTACAGTGACTGTGGGATCTCTATCATGTTTTCAAACTTTTGCAATTGGTATGCATGTACCCTTAGCACCTTAGGATTACTCAAAGAGATAGTATGCATACAGTGACTGAAAATTCTAGATATTCCATTATTAGAGATTCATATTTAGAATTTGAAAATAAATAAAAGCTCAGATCAATAAAAGTAATTTTAAAAGATTATGGTTTGAGATCAGATGTATGAGCTATGGAGCAAGGGAAAGGGGTAGAGCAGAGTAAGAAAATTGTGATACAATAAAAATGGAAAGTCTTAAAGCTTCCAAAATATAGTTTAGACTGGCTATTTTGAGATAGGCATTTAGAAGTTCAAAGGACCTAAACCACTACCCTGTTTTCCATAAGGCATAAAGAGTAAAAATGGCTCCTTCCATCTATCCTGATGGACAAGGCAGAAACATTGAGTATTTCCTTGTACTTTTTGCAGATCTATGAGAACGTATCATATTACTACATACCTCACAACTATAAGTGCTAAATTATTAATAACATCACCTTCAGACTCCAAAGTTTCCCAGGTAGGGTGGTAGTCAATGGAACCATCAAATCCATACCAGACTCCATGCAATCAACTTTGAGAGCCTAAAGAACCTGGAATTTTTACTCTTTTTTAAAAAGTATATGTTAATAGATTATAATATAACTAATTTTACCCTAACTTCAAGGAATTCATAATTACATGTATTACTCAACTCCAGAAAAGAGTTTGGTATCTTAGAACTGCCACTCTTCTTGGCCTCGGTATCTATCTATTTACATGAATTTTAATTTTGTAAATCCTTTCAGGTCTTCGATTAAATAATCATCACTCAATCAAAATACAGTCATGGCACTATTGTTCTCTTTTATCTTTTTCATTGCTAATGATGACATTATCACAGTTTCCTATAATGAGAGAAAAATAGATCACCAGAATCATTAATAAATTTGAAATAAATTTCCAGAGCCTTATCTAATATAAAAACTGAAGGATCAGTTAGCATCCCCTACTAATTTATTTTTTAGCTCAATGCAGCTACATTTCTGATGGCTAGCTCATGAACGTGGGTGAGGTATGGAAGAATACAGAAAGACTAGAGAATAGAAAGAAAGAATAGAGAAAAACTGAAATAAGGGAGAATGGTTTAATCATCTTTACTTATAGCATTTCCAATAATAATGTACTCTGTTGTTTCTTTTCCAATAAACTCAGTACTCTGAGATTTGTGATGAGAGAGCACAGTGTAAGAGTGACAAACATATTCTCAAAGCTTGTTCTACCGCATTAAAGATACACATTGAGGATGTCTTAAAAGTGTGAGTCTCTGGGCTGGAAAGGTGGCTCAGTGGTAGAGTGCTTCCCTTGCATGCATGAGGCCCTGGGTTTGATTCCTCAGTACCACATAAGCAGGAAAAGCCAGAAGTGGTGCTGTGGCTCAACTGCTAAAGCACTAGCCTTGAGCTGAAGAGCTGAGAGATGGTACCCAAGCCCAGAGTTCAGACCCCACGACCAACCAGAAAACCCCAAAAACTGTGAGTCTCCAAAGTTCATCATGCTTGTTAATCAAATCTACATCATTACGACAATGTTTGATCCTTTTTTTTTTCCCCAGTCATGGGGCCTAAACTTTGGGCCACTGCGCTGTCCCTAAGCTCTTCAGTTCAAGGCTAGCACTCTACCACTTGAGCCACAATGCCATTTCTGGGTTTTTCTGCTTATGTGGTGCTGAGGAATTGAACCTAGGGCCTCATGCATGCGAGGCAAGCACTCTACCACTGAGCCACCTTCCCAGCCCATTTGATTCATTTTTGCAAATATATTTAACATTTTCTGGAAATGGTGCCATTATTTTTGTATCATTTCTGTTACAAGAGAAGTCCAATAAAAATAAAGGCTTATGATATCTCAGTGACTCTTTAGCCTATTCTCTAAATAGAGAGTTGAAGATAAACGTGAAAATCAGCAGCATTAATTTTCTACTTGTTTTATGTTTTGAAGATAGGTTAGAGGAAAAAATGACTTTTCAAGCCTACACTATTGATAGCATAACTTACTATTGGGATTCACTAAACAGTTAAAAATTTGTCAATAGCAAGCTCTCCAAAACACTGTTATGCTTTAAATGGTTTTTGTCAAACACAATCTTCTCCTGTTAAAAAAAACTGCATCTCTTTATACCCTGCTTTTCCCAGCCTGCATTTCACAGATCCTCTAGCTAGATGCTTGTTTGGTCTGACTTTTAAAAACTGTCTGGGCATGACTTCTGGTAATGAAGCACAAGCTTCTATTGGATCAACCTCCTCCTGGTAACGAATTTAAATGGACAAATAGAGAACACAAGCACCGAAGAAATGAACAAAAGTATGCAGAAACTAGAAGGGAAATGCACTGAAAAGAGAATGGAAGCCAAGCGCCAGTGGCTCATGCCTGTCAGCCTAGCTACTCAGGAGGCTGAGATCTGAGGATTGCAGTTCCAAGCCAGCCAGGGCAGGAAGGTCCGTGAAACTCTTATCTCCAATAAAGCACCAGACAACCGGAAGTGGCGCATTAGCTCAAATGGTAGAGCACTAGTCTTGGCTGAAGAGCTGAGGGACAGCACCCAGGCCGAGTTCAAGCCCCATGACCAAAAAAGAATGGAAGTATGTAAAATTTTTATTCATTATACCTTTTGCCTATGGTCAGGCTTCAGTGATACGTGGTGAAATAGTCCCAATGTAGAAATGTACTCATTACCTTGCTCTTATAACTGTAACCCCTCTGCACAGTATTTTCACAATAAAAAAACTTATTTAAAAAAAACAAAAACCTATAGCCTTACTAGCTTAAAGGACTGGAAGGCAAACATAGGCATCTGTAATATCTAGAAAGTGATAGTGGAATTTTAGATAAAAAAGCAACAAAAGGTAAAAATGTATACTTTATGATCCTATTTACAGAAAGTTCTGTAATAAGGCAAACTAATATATACTTTTAAGAAATCAAATCAGACATTGCTCTGGAAAACAATCAGTTTGACAGCAAAGACATAGAACATTTCCATGTCTCAGATGACAAGAGACACACATTTGTCAAAATAATAAAAATAGCCTTCTTCCTATTTGTACATTGCATTGAAAGTATACTTTATTTACCAAAATAACTGTTAACAAACACAGAACTCTGACCAATAATAGATATGTTGAAGTATTCAGGCATTGTATATGGACATTTGTAACTTACTTTGAAATGGCTTAAGATATTAAAATTGATTAACTGAAAAATTGGATAGGCAAACTGATGGATAGCTATAAAATTAACAGAAAGTGGAATATATATGGAAGGTTTATGGATTTTCACTGTACAATTCTTTCAACATTTCCATATATGTAAATTGTCACAATAACCCTTGTGGGAGAAATCTGTGACTATACCCTGCCAGTATCTTCCATTTTGGATTTTAGGTTACTTTTCTGGGCATATTCACTGATGTACTTTATAGCTTCATGCATCAACGTAATATTTACTGAATATCTATTGTGTGTCAAACAATGTGCTTCATAAGGCAGCTATGAAGGTGAAAGGATAGTTTCTGCCCCTCAACTCAGAGTCTTCTGGAAGAGGGTCATATGTATAATGAAAATGTTCATAGTGAAAAAAGTATTGAGGAATATATGGAAGATCAGAAGGCATAAGTGGGGAACCAGGAGAGTTCAAGGCAAGGAGGGCACTGTAAACAAGTCATAGCTGTCTTAGAGGGTGCCAGCAACAGTATGCTGCAGGCCAAGCACATCTACAAAGGCATTAGAAAAGTCTGACATATTAATCATATACCAGACTCTGTGCATGTTAACATTCTATATTCTCATTTAATCCCCAAAAATTCTACTAATAAAAAGAGTGAGGTTTGAAAAGGATTTAGTATCTTAGATAATGTCACAAAGCTAGTAGGTGGTAGAGCCTGGAATTATACCCAAACTGAATACAGAAACTAAATTTTTAGCACCTTTATTATATCATCTAACACTCTCTGTGCAGAATTATTATTTTTAGATATTTATATGTTTGTGTTTATAGAAGATGGAAGGGGCCATATTCTGATCAGCCTATGATTCAAAGAACAATAAACGTAGGATTCTAAATCCTCAAGAAGAAATCATAATCTGATTCTTTTCACTCCAGTGTTTTGGGTTTAGCTAGGAGGATGTTTTATTTTATTGTGGTAATGAATTTTGAAGTAGGGTCTTGTTAGGCAGGTAAGTGCTTTTCTGCTGAATCACTTCTAGCCCCATTTTGTGTTAGGTTTTTGTTTTTTGTTTTGTTTTTTTTATATAGGTTCTTACTTCTTGCCTGGGTATGTGCCTGGCTCATGGTCCACCTATATGAGGCTTCCAATCAGAGCTAGGATAACAGGTACAGATTACTGTACCAAGCTCTCAGTTGAGAAAGTACCTTGTAAATTTTTCTGCCAAGTTGGCCTTAAACTGCAATCCTCCCAAGTAACTAAGATTATGAAAGTGAGTCACCAGGGTGAAGAAGAATTTATCTGTATAATACATTTATTACCATGTTGACCACAGACTAAAATTTAGGCATGACAACAGACAATTTATAAGCCTTAGTCTTGCTGGTACTAACATTTATATATACCATGTAAGGCTATCCTTAATAAATATGGAAGACAGTTGACAGCTACATTCGACCCAAATACTTTATTTTTTGGTACCAGGGATTAAAGCCATGGCAAATATTTATTCAATCTTCTTTCTTATACAACCTTCTTTCCTCTCAATTACTTTCCCACATACCAATCTTTAGTAGGCTGGTACAGTTAATACAGAATGATGTATTTTTTCATTGGACCTAGGAATGGCACCATGCATACTATAACATTTACAGAGAAAGATGAGGGACTTGATTCAAGGAAGAATAAAAGAGA